TGCAGGACAACTCACCACAACCAACTCACCATGTCCAATTCACCACAACCAATTCACCACAGCCAACTCGCTGCAGGACAGCTCACCATGACCAACTCATCACAGCCAACTCACTGCAGGACAACTCACCACAACCAACTCACCATGGCCAGTTCACCACAACTAATTCACCTCGGCCAAGTGACTGCAGGAAAACTCACCACGGCCAACTTGCCACAGCCAACTCGTCGTTATTTTCCCAATTTCTATTTTCTACTTCTTTTTTCTAACACTTCATAAAATAACCACGTTAAAAAAATATTCTACAGCTATCCATCATCTCTTGCCCTTCTTAGAATTTCAACTCTTAACTTTTTGGTGAATTGTTCAAAGCAGGGACACGTTTAATGGGTTTACATACTTGCTTACGCCATTGGTTATTGATACCAAAACAACAAAAGACACAGGCCAATATCAAATAAACCAGGCTACACCATATCCTGTGGCTTCCACCAGGCTAAAAGAGCAAAGGGTTAAAAGAGAAATTGAAAGATCCATATTTTTTTCCCAGTCTGCAAGCTCATTAAATAATCCTCAAGCATACATACTTTATATCCTTCATGTACCTAACTTAAGAGCATTTTTGTGAGGATAAAAGACTGTGGAGCAAAGCTGTAGAAAAATGCAGTAAAATCTGATTTGGAATTTTTTTTTGAACGGCTACGGTTTCTGTACATTGTCATTGCTTTCAAAATATTTAATACCCTTCCTTGGCTGAAGATCAGCAGCACTGGAATATGAAAAACGCCATGGAACCACAGAGAGTACAGGCAGTCGACTTACAATGGTTCATTTAGTGACCGTTCAAAGTTACAATAGTGCTGAAAGAAGAGACTTGTTTTTCAGTTATGAGAGATGAAAAATTCAGATGCTTCTACAAGTTTCCCATCTGCACACCTGAAATTAGATTTGCTCTATTGGCCACAAATGTAGCTAAACACCCCTGTCCAAAATAATTCTCAATCGAATTGCACACAGGGAATCCTCGACTTACGACCACAGTTGACACCCCCACACACACACACAAATTTCTGTGGCTGAGCAAGACAGCAACTGTTGAGTGAGCTTCACCCTGTTTTTTTATCTCTCTTGCCACAATTGCTCAGGGGAATCGCTGCGGTTTACGATTGTTAAGTGAGAAATCTGGCTTCCCTGTTGCCTTGGCTTGCCAGAAGGTTGTAAAAAAATGTCATGACCCTTGAACACTGCAACTGCCATAATTAAATGCTGGTTGCCAAGTGTTTGAATTTTGATCCTGTGATCATCGGATGCTGTCAAAGTCCTAAGGATGAAAAATCCCCCTAAATCAATTTTTTTCAGCACTGTTGTAACTACGAAAGTTCACTCAATTGTAAGTCGAGGACTACCTGTATACAAAAATCTAACTTCTCGCTGAGAGATGTGGGGCTGCTTGTTGTCTGACACACTGCACCTTTTTTCATGACCCATCAAGCACTTCAAGGCCTAAACATGTTCCCCCCAAAATAAGAATGTGTCTTATATTCTTTTTGCCACCCAAAAAGGCACCAGGCCTTATCTTCGGGGGTGTCATCCACTGACTAACCTCACTTGCATCCGTCACCTCTGACGTCCTTTTCACTGTTATCAGAGGCCTCAGGAACTTCTTCTGCAGCCAGCAAGGTTTTCCTGAAGGCCTTTGCAGCTGATAACAGAGCTTTGTTATTAGTTCCAGAGGCCTTCAAGAAAGTCTTGCCAGCCTTGCCAGCTGCAGAAGAAACGGGCAGGCGAGGCAGGTCTCGGGCTGTGTGAGGCCTGGCTACAATGTCCAAAGGTAAGTAGTAGGGCATCTCCACCACCATCCCATCCTCACCCTAGCTTAATTTTTGGGTGGGATCTCAATTAGGGCTTATTTTGCAGGTAGGGCTTACACTGGGCGCACATGTAAAAATCAAGCTAGGACGTACTTTCAGGGTAGGTCGTATTTTCGGGAAAACAGGATAACACCTGATAAATCATGATTTAAATCAAGCCGGTTTTTCTCCAATTGAAGGCAAAAGAGCAGCTGTGCTAAAAACTATGAGGCGGAGTTCCACCTTCCCTGATCCACCTGAATTCCTCCAAGCAAAAACAGTCAGGGAGTCCTCAATTTACAACAGTTCATTTAGTGACTGTTCCAAAGTTACAACGGCACTGAACAAAAGAAAAGGACTTGTGACCGTTTTTCAAACTTACGACATTTGCAACATCCCCTCGGTCATGTGATCAAAATTCTTACACTTGGAAACTGACTTGTATTTATGACAGAGTGTCCCGGGGTCACAGGATCAAATTTTTGAGACTTTCCAATGAGCAAAATAATCAATGAGAAAACCAAATTATTAACTATATGACTAACTTAACAAGTGCCGTGATTCACTTAACCATTGTGGCAAGCAAGATCGTAATACGGGGCAAAACTCACTTAACAAATGTCTCAACAGCAGAAACTTTGGGCTCAGTGGTGGTCTTAAGTCGAGGACCACTTGTACTTATTTCTTAATCTATTTATTTCTCCAAGAGTTCATAGGCATGTAGCCCTTCCTGGGTCATTTTATTTTCCAACAATGTTGTGGGGCAGGAAATGCTAAGGAAAATAAATTTATTTGGCCCCTGGGTGAGTAATGAACCGAATCAGAGTCACCTGCCTCAGTGCAGGCTCTAACCACTGTACTATGCTGCCTTAGGGTCCAAATCAGTTTTCTTCCAAAAGATTAAAAATGAATTAAAACTGAGTACAATCCCCCTAGAACACAACCTTAATATTTTCAGAATTGCATAAGCAGTCAACGATTCACAAACAAGGCACCAAATATTATAAGTTCTGCATTCAAATCCCACCCTAACGCGGGTAGTCCTTGATTTATTAACAGTTCTTTAGTGACCAAAGTTACAACACAGCTATACCATGATCAGGTGATCAAAATGTGACGCTTGGCCACTGACTCATATTTATGACAGTCACAATGTCCCAGGGTCAGGTGATCAGATTTTGCGACCTCCTGACAAGCAAAGTCAATGGGGGAAGCCAGATTCACTTAACAACTGTGTGACTCACTTAACAACTGCAGCAATTCACTTAACAACAGTGACAAGGAAGGTTGTAAAATAGGGGCCAAACTCCCTTCGCAAATGTCTCACTTAGCCAACAGAAATTTGGGGCTCCATTGCGGCCATAAGTTGAGGACTTCTTGTACAAAAAAGTATCCTTTGGAGAGAAACTGTCTAGGCACAAAGTTCAGTTCTGCCACCATCTGTGTGGAACCACACTGACTAGGATGCTACAATGACTGGTTCAATTCCATCATGAAGTTTGATCGTTATCATATTTAATATTGATGCATCCCAAGCCGTACTATTCCCGAGGAGTGAAAATGACAGCCCCAGGCAAGAACGGGAGTTCATTGCCAAAAAATCTGGTTATAAAACAGGGAGGTAACAACAGGTTTGAGCCAATTTGGGACTAGTGGTTAAGGCACTAACAGGCTAAAAAGCAGGAGATGGTGAGTTCAAGTCCCATCTTAGTCCTGAGGCTGGATGGGTGACTTTGCACCAATCCCAGGAGACGGTGAGTCCTAGTCCCGCCTTAGCCATGAAAGACAATATGGTGACTTTGGGTCAGTTACCAGGAGACAAAGAGTTCTAATCTCACCTTAGACATGAAAGATAATTGGTTGACTTTGGCCAATCAGCAGCAGACGGGGAGTTCTAGTCCCTTAGCCGTGAAAGCTGACTGAGTGACTTTGGGCCAATCACCAGGAGGCATAGAGTTCTAGTCCCTCCTTAGACATGAAAGCCAGATGGGTGACTTTGAGCCAATCACCAGGGGATGGTGAGTTCTAGTTCCACCTTAGACAAAAAAGACCATTGGGTAATTTTAGGAATGAAAGACAATTGGGTGACTTTGGGCCAATCACAGGAGATGGGGAGTTCTAGTACCGCCTTAACCATGAAAACCAGCTACCATAGGTGATCTTGGGCCGGTCAAAATCTCTCAGCCCAATCTACCTCATAGGGTTGTTGTTGTGGGGAAAACAGGAGGAGGAAAGGTGTATAAAAGTGACATACAAACTAACTTTTTTGGGACCCATTTTTCCTCTAACTCCACCCATCAAGAACAAGAATGAAAAATTTCCTCTCAAAAGCCGCAGCGTGGCCCACACCACCTGCAAATCGTCATCAGAGGTAGTCCTCAACTTATGACCTCAATTGATGGCCAAATTTCCAATGCTGAGCAAGTCCCTCGTTCTGTGAATTTTGCCCCATTTTATCACCTTTCTTGGCACTGTATTTAAGTGAATCACTGCCGTTCTTAAGCTAGTCACACAGTTGTTAAGTAAATCTGGCTTCCCCGTTAACTTTGTTGGTCAGAAAGTTGCAAAAGGGGATCCCATGAGCCCAAGACACTGCCACCGTCGTATATGCCGAGCGCCTGAATTTTGATCCCATGATCACAGGGACGCTGCAACGGTCTTAAGGGTGAAAAACGGTCCTAAGTCTGTTTTTTCTGTAACTTTAAATGGCCGCTATTGTAAGTCAAGGACTATATGTACCCCACTTTTTGGCCCTTCCTGCCATGAAGTTTGTTGCATGAGGTGGGCTACAAAGCACCTTCCACACAGCCATGCCAGCTCAATCAATCAATCAGAATAGAGCTGGAAGGGACCCTTGGAGTCCAACCCCCTGCTCTGGCAGGAGACCCTGCACCATTTCAGAGACAAGTGACTATCCAGTCTCTTCTTAAAAACCTCCAGTCATAGAGCGCCCACAACTTCTGGTAGCAAGCTATTCCAGTGATTAAGTGTTCCATTGTTAGGAGGTTTCTCCTTAGTTCCAGATCGGGATATCAATCAATCAGAATAGAGGTAGAAGGGACCCTGAGAGGTCTTCTAATCCAGCCCCCTGGTCAGGCAGGAAGGCCTATACCATTTCAGACAGAAGTTTGTCCACTCTCTTCTTAAAAACCTCCAGTGTTGGAGCATCCACAACTTCTGGTGGCAAGCTGTTCCCCAGCCCACAACTGTTTCAAAACCCTAAATCCTTCAAGGGCAGGATCTTTATTCTAAATCTGAATCCATCCACCCTCCTTATCCTAAAAAAAACAAACCAACAACTATACAGGTAATCCTCAACATACGACCACAACAGAGCCCCAAATTTAAGTTGTTAAGTTTGCTCAGCGCGTTTTGCTCTGTTATTACGACTTTTCTGGCCACATTCGCTACTAAGCAAATCGCTCCGGTCCTTAAATCGGCCACACACAGTTGTTAAGCGAATTTCCCCCGTTGGCTTTTAGCTTTTCCAAAAATGGCAAAAAAAAAAAAAAAGGGGGGGGGGGAAATCCCTGCCATCATCACAACTGCGAGTCGAGTGTCCACCTGCCAATCCCGCCGTGACCGTCGAGGGGAAACACTGCAACAGTCATTTAAAGTGTGAGAAAATGCTCCCAGGCTCCTTTCTTTCCAGTGCCCTTGTTGTCGCTCCGAATGGTCCTTAAGCGAACCGTTGTAAGGGAGAGGACCTACCTGACCCCAGGTGAAAACTTTGAACCTGAATTAAAATCTGAATTAAATAGGCAGGGTTAAGAGCGGAGCCCTGCTGGCTATCTCATTGCAGGAACATCTGCTAGGAAAACTTATGAGGCAGGGAGGGGGGCTTTTAGAAAATGAATGGAGACCCTCCCCACCCCCAAAATGTGGGTCAACGGCAAGTTGCAAAACTGGCAAAGCGGGAGAGGATTAGGCTGCTATGGGGCGCCCCCATAGTTCTCCCCCACTGGTGGGGCCAGGAAGTGCCCATTTCCCCCCCCCATCAGCAACAGGCTGTTAAAACTTCTGCAAGGGTTTCCCCCAACTCACTTAAAGGGGATTTCCCCCTCCCCATTCCTATGGGGCAACCCCCAAAGTGATGTCAAGGGTTCTCCCGCCAACAGGACTTCCTCCCCCCCCCATTTTTTTTTCTCCCTATAGCCGACGGGGATCCCTTCCTCACCCCCTCCGCTTGGTGGCAGTAGTGGGCTATTGCCCCCGCGCATGTGCAGCAGCGGCGGCACCCCAGGGCCAGGGGCCCGCGTTGCTTAGATGCCAAAAAAAACCAAAAAAAAAAAAAAAAAGCTTGCCGTAGTTCGCCTGGCGGGCCCCCGGGCCCCTTCCCGTCGGGCCCTTTTTCCTTACCCCACGGAGCCGCTTAATCAAGGCGTTCTTCTGCCCGCTCTTAGGCAGGCCCCGCTGCTCCAAAGCCGCCTTCAAGTCGGCGACTCTCAACGCCTGAAGCGGCCTCCCGTCCAGAGTAACCTCCTCCCCGTCCGCCATCTTGTGTGGCGCTGCTGCCTGCCCTCCCCGGAGCTTCGGGGGCGTTCGGGAAGTTCCCGAGACGGCCTCGGCGCTCGGAGGCGACCTCCAACCCGGAGCTCGCGACGTCTCCTGGACGTCCGGCCGCCCTTCGTCAAGCGCCGTCTGGTTTCGGAGACTTCCGTTCGGCGTTCGAAAGGAGGGGCGGAGGGGCCGCTGTCGCTCGGGCGACTCTTTCCGGGCTATCTCGGGCATTTCCGGGTCTTTCGAGGAGGCTTCTCAATCTGAGAGTTTTGAGAAGGACTCGGGAACTTCCGGAGATCTTCGGCCTCCGAGGGGGGCGGACACGGAAACCCTCGGCAACTTCCGCCCAGCGCCCTAGAAAGCGCCTTCGAACGGAAGCCTGCCGTCTGAGTTCGTGTTCGGGTGTTTCCGGATGGCTTCGCCGACTTCCATCGACCCGCCCGAGGCTCTTCCTCCTGCCGAAAGCGGAGCAGACGAAAATGCCCCGAGTTTCTTTCGCAGCGATGGGAAAAACCTGGATCTGAGCCAAAGCAGGTGAGAAAAAGGCAATGCTGGCTTGTCTTCGGCTCCAGGGACCGGCCGTGCAAGGAAAGGGATTGCAAAAGCCGCGCCTTCATGGCTGGGTTTGGCGTGGTGCAATCGTTTGCACGGTGGACTACAAGTCCCATCGTGCTGAATAAACCTAGGGCACGTGTCTCGGGCGCGGGGGGTGGTGGGTTGCATTCCGACAGTGGACGAGACCCAGGACGGGGGAGTGGCTGCCCTACCTGCCTGGAATTCTGCTTTGCGAGCAGCCAGGTGCAAACTGGGTTTGTGCAGGGCTGGCCAACATTGTGGGTTTGTACGAGCTGAGTTCCGTTCAAGCTGGCTTGTTGGGAGTCTTTATACTCAACGTATGTGCTGCTCCATTGAAAGAAAGCCTTCCCTGTTGCTTTCAAACGGCTTTCCAACCGTAGTAACTTTTAAGATGTGTGGGCTTAATTCCCAACATTAAAGCCAAGGAAGGAAGGGAGGGAGGGAGAGGGAGAAAGTTATTAAGAAAGAAGAGGGAGGCAGGGAGAAAGGAAGGAAGGACGGAAGGAGAGAGGGAGGAAGTTATTAAGGAAGGAGAGGAAGGGAGGAGGAAAGGGAGAAAGGAAGGAAGAGCGGAAGGGAAGGAGGGAGGACCGAAGGAATGGGATGGAAAGAGATGGAGAAAGAGGGAGAAAAGAGGGAGGGAAGAAAGAGGAAGGAAGGGAGGACTTCTAACCCTTCTTTCCTCCATCTCTCCCTTTCTTTGTTTCCCTCCCTTTCTTGCCTTCCTTTCCTCCCTTGCTTTTTTCCCTCCATTTCTCCCTCTTCCTCTAACCCTTCTTTTCCTCCTCATTCCTTCCTTGCCTGTCTTTTTTCCTTCCCTTTCTTGCCTTCTTCCTACTCTGCGCACCTCCCTCTTTCCTGCTTTCCTTTCTTTTCCTTTCCTCCCCTTCTCTCTTTCCTTCTCTCCCTGCCTTTCTTGTCTTCTCTTCCTCCCCTTAATTCCTTTTCTCCCTCCCTACCCCCTTTTTTCCTTCCTTCCTAATTCTGGGAGCTGAAATCTACTCATCTTAAAGTTGCAAAGTTTACAAAACACTTTATGCAAGTTTTTCTTTCCCCTGGAGGAATTTTAATTTTACTTTAGTGGCTGCCATAGCCATTTCCTACAAGTTTGTTTCCTTCCTTTCCTCTGAACATATTTTCTGTCCCTTTGGATGTGTAAATTTTAGCTTTATGCAATATTTATAATACCATGCGGTTTTGGGGGAACAAGAAGGAAGAAATTGTTAGAAAGAGTTCAGCTATTTAACTGGGGAAAATAAGAGTTGAGACTGCCTGAAATGCTGCAGCGGCCCTTTTAATACAATATACACGTTATTTTAAAACCTTTTTGGTTATTTAGCTATGCTAATTGTATCCTTAGGATGCTTGTTGGTGCTTTACATTGTAAATTCACAGCTGGTTTAATCTTCCAAGCTCTTGATAATATTTCCTGGATAAAAACAATCTTTGGGAAACGCGGTGTGCCGATAAACTGTTTATTTTCAGTACAAATGTTAACTGTGATATGTAGTTATGACCCTGATCCTATAACATATCTAGTTAGGATAGGATTTTGCCTAAATTTTTGCTCCCTAATCTAGCTTTCCTTGTGTCTGCCCCTTCAGCGTTTCCTCATTCCATTGGCTCTTTAATTTTGTTTTCCAAAGGTATTCATTACATATACACGACTTGAGTGCTGCCCACTCGGAAGGATGAACAAAGAAGGGAAGAAGAAAAAGCAGAAATGAAGGAGAGGGAGGAAGTGGAGGGAAGGAGAGAAGAAAGTGGGAAGGAGAGAGGAAGGAAGAAAAGAAGGAGAGATGGAAGGAAGGGAGGGAAATTAATATATAATTTAAAATAGAAACTGAGTGCTGCCTGCTTGGAAGGATGAAGGGAAGAAGAGAAAGACGGAAGGAAAGGGAGGAGGAAGGAAAGATGGAAGGGAGGGAAATACTGTCATAAGTCGAGGACTGGTTGAAATCCCCCCACCTTGGCTTCTCTGCCCTCCCCTGCAGGATGACGGAGCCGCTACCCTTGTCCTACATGACGGCCCAAGAGATGCGTTGTGTCCTGCACTGGCTGTCCATCTGGACTCCCGCCCAACGGGAATGCTTCCTCCGAGACCTGGTGGACAAGGCCGTCCCTTGGAAGCTGTTCCCCCTGATGGAGAGCCTTTCAAGACTCCGGCTGGAATATGGGAAGCCCCCGTCCATCTACAAGTGCCAGATGCGCCTCTGGAACCAGTGGTTCCGCAGCTGGTCGGAGGCCGAGCGCAACGAGTTTGTCCGGCAGATGGAAGAGGAGATGCCAGATTTGGCTGGACGGTTTTACCAAGAAGTGGCGGCCTTAGCCCAACAAGACTGAGGCAGACCGTGGCACGCTCTCTCATCTGTCCCCTACCCTCTTTGTGGGGGGGTGGGGGAGTGATTTCTCTGGACGTCTTTCACCAGCTGCTGTCAAGGCCTTTCCATAACCCTGAATAATATGAAAATAAAATGTTGTTTAGCAAATGCAATGGATTAAATGCTGGGTTGTGTGCTGAAATATGGGGGAGGGACTGATATTTTCCTTCCTTTTTTTTCCTATTCCTTCCCTTCCTCCCTCTCTCTACCCCATTTCCTTTCTTCTTTCTTCCCTTCCCTCATTCATTCTTTCTTTCCTTCCCTCCCTTCTTCCTTCCTAACTGTTTCTTTCCCTCTATTTCTTCCCTCCCTCTTTTTCTTCCTCTGCTCCTATTTCCTTTCCTCTTCCCTCATTGTTTCTTTCCTTCCTTCCTTCCCTCCCTCCTTCCTTCCTAACTCTGTTTCCTTACTTCTTTCCTTCTATTCCTTCTCTGCCTCTTTTTCCCTCTGCCCCGTTTCCTTTCCTCTTCTCACATTTTCTTTCCTCCCTTTGCTCCCTGTTTCCTTTCTTCCCTCTCTTCTTCCTTCCTAACTCTGTTTCCTTCCTTGGTTCCCTGTCCCAGTCTCTTCGTCTGTTCCTTCCTTTCCTCCTTCCCTCCCTATGTCCCTCCCACCTTGTTTCCTTCTTCCATCCCTGTTTCTTTCCTTCCTTCCCTATCTCTCTACTTTCATCTTCCTTTCTTCCCTCATTTTCTCCCTCCTTCTGCCCCCTTTCCTTCTTTCTTCCCTCTGTTTCCTTCCCTTCTTCTTTACCTCCTACCCCTCTTTCCATCCCTCCATATTTTTCCTTCCTTTTCACCTTCGCTACTTCCCTCTCTCCCTTTCCTTCCTTCCTTTTGTTTCTTTCCTTCCCTCATTCCCTGTTACCTTCCTTCCCTCCCTCAGTTACCTTTCTTCCTTCTGTCCATCCTTCTCTCCCTCTTCCTTCACCCCTTCCTCTGTTTCCTTATTTCCTCCCTGTTTCTTTCTTTCTTTCTTCCTCTTTCCCTGTTTCCTTCTCTCCCTCCTCCCTGTTTCCTCCTTTCCTTACTGTCTTTTATTCCTTCATCTCCCCGTTTCTTACCTTTTTTTCCTCCATCACCCCCTCTACCCGCTTTCCTTCCTTCTCCTTTTTTCTTATAATTTTGTACAGAAGATGCAAAATCGTGAAAACATACAGTAAAAGAACAAATTAGCAAGGGATTTAAAATGTCATGTAAATTACGTTTTCCCAGAGTATCATTAGTCAACGATGAATAGTTGGACATACTATTTTAGAGCTTGGAAATTGCTTATTAAGCTCTTAAGCATGAATACCCAGATCTTGATCAGCCCAGAATAAATCACTTAAATGAGATTTATCAACAGAGAAAAATTAATCTTTATTACTGAGACTATTCTGGCTTAAACAACCTGTGAAATTAAAAAAAAAAAAACAGACTCTGTTCATAGAGCAAACCATTCATTGCTGTTCTACAACCCACTTCTTAGTTTGGTTAATTCAGATCGTCCTCCACTTACGACCACAATTGAGCCCGAAAGTTACGGTCCTTAAGTGAGACAGTTAAGGGAACTTTGCCTCATTTTACGACCTTGCCACAGTTATTTAGTGGATCGCCGCAGATGCTAAGTCAGTCACACAGCCGTTGAGCAAATCTGGCTTACCTCTTTGACTTTGCTCCTCAGAAGGTCACAAAAGAGGAATCACGTGACACTGCGACCATCATAAATACAAATCGGTTGCCAAGTGTCTGAATTTCAATCACGTGACTGACGGGGAGACTGCGGCAGTTGTAAGTGTGAAAAAAAATAAGTGGAGGATAGCCTGTAATGCATTTTTAGATTCGACCGGGATTTCCTTGGCCCACCCAATCTGCTAAATCAAAATTTAAAAATCACAGTAGCGGAGGAGTTGGATAATCTTTATTAGCCCCTTTTCGTGGGCAAAGCTATAAAGATACACCATGTTTTAAAACAGCCTGGAAAAGTCAACTTTGCAAGAGAGCCAACAAATTTTAGGGTTTAGCTACGTGAACCGACCGACGTAAAGGCCCAAGGTATCCTGGAGAAGGCCTCTATCCATCATTTTGCCATTTGCAAAACGTCCCTAAGAAACCAGATGCTAAAAAGCAAGGGTCTTCGAAATTGGCAAGTTTAAGATTTGTGGACTTCAATTCCCAGAATTCCAGAACTCACTTGACTGGAGGAGGAATTCTGGGAATTGAAGTCCACAAGTCCTAAAGCTGTCAAGTTTGAAGACCCCAGCTAAAAAGTTTAGTTTTAACTCTCTCTTTATCTTCCTGGCCTTGGATC